TGCACTATTCCATCGTAATTATCTACCTGAAGCTTTGGTATCGTCTGCTCAATTCTCATGATGTTGTGTGATTACTAGTAGCCATCCAAATGGACTCCTATATATATAGTACCTCCCGCTCTATTCGTAATAAGAGTATATAATGATTGTGCATTCCACCATGACACGTACTTTCCAGCAGACACCGATCGTGCGAGGTCGCGGCCTCATTTCCAACGTAATAGAAAATCTCCCTTTCGAAGCCCACATCCCAGGTTACAATTTCTGTGGCCCGTCAACCAAACTGCAAAAACGTCTTCAACGAGGAGATGTTGGTATAAATCCACTTGACGAATTTTGCAAACAACACGACATTTTCTATTCTCAGCAGAAAGATCTCACTGCGCGTCAACAAGCGGACAAACTTTTGGCTGATCAAGCTATACAGCGAGCCTTCGCATCCGACAGCTCTTTTGGAGAACGAATGGCAGCTTTGGGAGTTGCTGGAGCAATGAAAGCTAAAAAAAAGATGGGTTTTGGCCTGCGAAAACATCGTACACAACAAAGAAAGAAACGTTTGAACAAGATGGGAAAGGGTTTGCGAAAAAAATCACCAAAATCGCAAAGTTCCAAGCGACGTTTGCGGATTCTGCCTCTACCGAAAACAGGTGGCTTTCTACCTTTACTTCTACCTATACTCGGGGCTCTTGGAGCTCTTGGAGGTGGTGCTGCCTCCATTGCAAAAGCTGTCAATGATGCTAAAGCCAATCAGTCACAACTTGCGGAACAGAAGCGTCATAACTTGGCTTTAGAAGCCTCTCGCAAGGTTTCTCCCACGGGAAAGGGGTTTTTTTTAGCACCGTACAAAAAAAACTGCTAAGGCACCTACCATCCCATGCGCTTTCCGATATTGAACTACTTTACTTTGCAAAACAACTTAACATTCCTTTTTTTCGAGGAGTATTCATGAAAGATCAATTACCAAAGGGTATACAGACTTGTGAAAGTGGAATTGTTAATTTGGATGACTCGTCTGGCGACGGGACTCATTGGGTTGCATACGTGAAAAATGGCAATCTTGTCTCATACTTTGATTCATATGGGAATCTGCGCCCTCCACTGCAGCTGATAAGATATTTTGGTAGCAGTGATAAAAATGTTCGCATTGTATACAATTATACTCCAATACAAAAGTTTAATGCTCACAATTGTGGACAGCTATGCTTACAATTTCTATATATTTCTTACTGTTACTCCTAATACAGAAGTTGCAATTCAAACGTTCTACAGTAATGACGTCCCTCACATTTACGCTGTCGGGAACTTCTTCCACTCTCCAATCACATTTTAATCCCCCGCTATATCTTGATGATAATGTGGACTATGAAATCGGGTTGTGCAACTTTGAATCCTTCAATGTTATTCCCAATATAGACGAAACTAATAATAAGTTTCCATGTGACAATGAACTACTTACATTTCCTACAGGCGCATATGAAATTCGAGATATTATTGATTATTTAGATCAAAATCTCCCAGAAGGGAAAATTATTAGCATTACACCTCATATGAATTCCACAACAGTTTCTCTCAAAGCCAATTTTACGATTGATTTTTCACATAATGGTACCATTGCATCCCTTCTCGGATTTAAACCTCGACGTCTTGACCCAATCATTAGACATACGTCTGATTTTCCTGTGCAAATTTTGAAAGTGAATTCAATATGTGTTGCTTGCAATGTAGCCACAGGCTCATATTCCAACGGTGTGCCAAGCCACATCATCCATCAATTTTTCCCCTCTGTTTCGCCCGGGTATAAAATCGTTGAATCACCTCAAAATATTTTATATTTCCCAGTGAGTGTTAAAGCAATCACAACCATTACCGTCAACATTGTTGATCAAGACGGTCACATAATTAATTTTCGTAACGAGACCATTACACTTCGACTTCATTTACGATCCGGTAACAATGGGCATTAGATATTACGCGCCTCCGATCTCTTTTCCCTATAAAAAGCGAGGTCAGTCGAAACCATCTATTAGTGGTAAGCCGTCCCGCATACGCAGAAGATCATTTCGACAACAATCAACATTGCAACTTACTAACGATAATAGAAAATTTTTGGAAAATCTAGGTTTTCACGTGTTGTAGGATGAGTATTCTCAACGTTACACAAAAACCTCTTGTTGATAATTCTATTACAGAACTAGAGTATCACACTTATCAACCTTTTATCAATTCCAACTTTGACTACAACGATGAAATTCGCATTGCTGTTCAAGAACTAGATGCCTATACCCTCCCGTCACAAAGTCTTTTGTATCTCGAAGGAGAATTAACCAAAGCCGATGGAACTGCTGTTACGACTAAAAACGCTGATGGAACTACTGTTAAAACTCTGCAATTAATCAATAACGCTTTTGCTTTTCTGTTCCGTGAGCTCCGTTATGAACTGAACGGAGTTGTAGTCGATTCCGTTCGAAATGTTGGTCTTACCTCCACCCTTAAAGGGTATCTGTCTTTTAATGAAAATGAGAGTTCACGCTTGCAAAATGCTGGCTGGTTCCCAAAAGACACTTTTATTTCTGAGTCTGGCAAGTTCAATGTTTGTATTCCTTTAAGCATGTGGATGGGATTCTTTGAAGACTATCGAAAAATTCTCCTCAATATGAAACAGGAGTTAGTATTAATCCGTAGTAGTCATGACCTTGATGCTGTTGTAGCAACTACTACATCCGAAAAACCAAAAATTCGGATTGATAAGATTCAGTGGAGAGTACCCCACGTATCTGTTGACATTCCTCAGCAACTAGCTCTTACAAACATTCTCAACAAAAACATGGAAATTCCACTATATTTTCGCAGTTGGGAACTAGTAGAGTATCCATCACTCCCTGAAACAACGCGTCACACCTGGCCAGTCAAAACTACAACGAAGCTCGAGACCCCTAGACATGTTATCCTAGCCTTTCAAACTAATAAAAAACAAGTATCTACCTCCAATATGTCACAATTTGATCATTGCAAGTTGACCAATATTCGGGTTTTCCTCAACTCCGACCGCTTCCCATATAATGATCTCTTTTTGGATTTTAAAAACCAAAAATTTGCCCTCTTGTATGAAATGTACTCAAAATTCCGCTCCTCCTATTATGAGAGTGAAAATGAACCTCTGTTTTCCCCAAAAGATTTCCTTTCTATTGCCCCTATCACACATATTGATTGCTCTAAACAGAAGGAAAGTATCCAATCTGGATCAGTGGTTATGCGAATTGAATTTGAGACAAGTGAAAATGTTCCTCCGGAAACATCTGCTTACTGTCTCATCCTACACGATCGCGTTTTCACCTACAACCCTTTAACCAAAATTGTTAAACAGCGATAGAGCTTAATCAATCATGATCAATCACAATATAAATATCTTTGTTCAGACTAAATCTCCTTCATTCTCATTATGACATCATCCTACAGACAAGCTCTCAGAGAGTATTATCAGAAATTGCAAAGTTTGAAAGAAGCACTCAATTCCTATTGTCAAAGACGCATTCTATATACAAAATTCTCCAACTTACAAATATGAGTGTCGTTTTGGATGTTCAAGGATTTAAAATTGAAAATAATAAATTTCTCGCAAAAGAATTTTGCGCCTATGATGGTGTTAGGTTATGTCATTATATTTTCAAAGCTCCTTTTCCTTGGGATCTGCTGCCACCACCGTTGCAGATTCAGGCGAAGTGGTTGACTGATAATTACCATGGTATCTCCTGGAATTCAGGGTTTACACCCCTACATAAGTTTGGAAACATTATTAAACATATTGCGGATGGGGCAGACAGAATTTATGTGAAAGGACGTGAAAAAGCAGCCTACCTGAGAAACTTCACCAGCAAACCAATAATCGAGCTTGAAGAGCAGCCCCGCCTCACCCCTTCACCGGCGAAGTGTTTTTACCATACAACAGATATTTGCATGTGTGCGATGTCTAACGTTTTTTATTTGTATGAAAATTTCATCATGTCATAATTTTTGTCAATAAACATATGTTTCTTCATTTAATGTATTTTTTACCCCTTCCTCCCACATAACACTACACAATATTCCTATCTTACAATCTTTATTATTTTATAAATACATCAAAGCGTTGCTTCTTCCCCTCTATTTTTACATTACATTACATACTCGCAATTTTACTAAACCTACTTCTTACTACTTTTATACATATCACAGACATACCTAAACTTTAATAATTTACACTTTAAACCTTTCTGTAAACACTGTTTGCCTATAATCTACTGTCAATTATTTTTTTAACACTTCTTCGACTAGTTGCACTCGCCTTTGAAACCTACATCTATCTGCCATCTCCCCGTTACTTCTTCGAGCTTCTCTATATGCATATTGCCATGCATACATGATATGTATTTTGTTTTTTGTTTCGTTGAAGGATACGGTCTTTGGAATAATACTTATATGTTCACCTTCATTGCACATGTTACTTTTGCTGGTGCACTTTTTAGTCACCCCACTACTTTTTCCTTCTACCAACATTGTCTCCACTCTCTTAAACCTTGCTTCCGTTTGCCAACAATACCTCCACCCTCTGAAACCCTGCTTCCTTCACTGCTGCACCTGTCGCAATCTCCTTCTCTCCTGTATAATCCATCTTAGTCTCGCACCACGACCCATGCCTGGAGGTATACTTCTCTGCATGGGCACCTGAATCAACTGATCCGAATTAGAACCTGCTTCATCATCCCAATTCTCTTCCACTGCCACTTCCGGCGACGGATTCCTGACTCCATATCGGCTAACCGGTGTGGTGTCCATGGGTGTTCGGGACCCAGATGGAGGATGCTGCGGTGTGGTGTTCATAGGTGTTCTGGACTCAGATGGTTGATGCGGCGGTGTGGTGTCCATATGCGTTGGGTCGTCCCAATTTTCTTCTTCAGGATGTATTCTGTTGAATGGGCGTATAACCGCCACCGGCTTCCCCTCCCACACCGTCGGCAACTTAAATGTTTGTCTTGCACTCATTGTTTGATTCGTGCTGTCTGCTAACAACTGCCTCCTCTCCGAGCGCTGCACTAATTTAAACATATATTTCCAAGGTCATACCGTCTACCACTCACGACTTCAAGGTCACATTTCAAGGTCATATTTCAAGGTTATATTTCAAGGCCATATTTCGATTCAAGGTCACATTTCAAGGCTATATTTCAAGGTTGCATTTCAAGGTCATATTTCAAGGCCATGTTTCAAGGTTACATTTCAAGGTCACATTTCGAGGTTAAATATGCGTTCAAGGTTGGCTCCCAAGGTCGACTCTCAAGGGCGTTCTAGAACATACAAACCCTACCTACTTGCGTCCCTGCGGCGTTATGAATCAGTTAATTGCTTTCCGTAAACACCACCAAATCAAACTCCAATTGCTTACTGAACTGTCAAAATTTTGTTTAATTATTCAGTGTCGTTCAAAAGGTACCTAAGAAGAACCGATTTCCAGTAAAGCCAGTTTTTACTTTCTACGTCATCTCGAAAATTTCTTATTTTTGCGAATAAACAAAACTTTAGCAGACGAATTTTCTCAAATGAGCTTACCTAGTATATTTCCTAAACTGACTGATTCAACTTCACCTCATGTGTAAATCTTCTGAAGCTAGAGCTTATATGAACTCTCCCTTAGATTGCCATAGACGTTCTATATTTCTATTTATCCTATTCAACAACGCTATATATCTCTTTTAGTTATCTGAAATCTTGAAAATGACATACCAGATGATTTTTTAAAGAGTCATGTGTAACATTTTCAAAGCTTTTACTCCTTGGCGGTATAAGGAGTTGCGAAGGTTTATATCGCGTTGAATATAGTTTATAATAAAAGATAAAAATACGCTCCACCCCTTAACATAACTCGCTCAAAATATTTTTCTGAAAATGAGTAGGAGACACTTAAACCTCAAAAATTATTTTTGTTATTGTCGTTTATTGTCCGAAGCTCCACCATCACTGGATCGATTTACAAAACCTACAGCCTAGCATCACAAACTAGTTCTCCTGTGTACCTTAACCAGTTTCTCTGACAATTGAGATGCTCGTCTGAAACAAAAGAAATAGTGATGTTTTATGTGATATGAAATAAAAGAAATAAAGCCGATACTATAGTTGTCAGAGGACCAAAGAAGCCATTACAATAGGATCAGCTATAAATATTTCATCTATATATATACACAGGGTGACTTTGAAGTTGAGTCATTAATTTTCAGATAATGATTGTAGAAGGAAGATAAACCAAAATATGTGTGTAAAAATAAAAAAAAAATAAAAAAAAAATGTTACCTTGTTTAATAAAGTATCCTCCCGACAAGTACTTCAGTGCGGACCTGTATTTGATCGTGCGGTCTTGGAGCAGCATGCCCTCACCTGTGAGGTCTTAAGTCACCTGATTCACGAGCCCTTTGTACTACATTAACAAAGGCACGAGGGGTTGGTTGCACTCGATTGGGAAACCGATTCGCGTAAATCCGTGATGCATCCGGGAGCATTTTGTAAAGACTGCCCCCCCGTAAATAAGAATCATGTCCACAAGTTCAGCATTTTCGTAAACATGTGCCATTTTTGATTTCGTTTGAACCACGCAACACACTACTATTCACTTACGCGTTATCGACTGACGAAAAACATCGTGATAAACGTTTCAAATTCTTTCGCTTTTTTGTTTCCGATGCGATGAACCGGTCAGGCGGATTATATCCGTTGTCGCCAAACACGAGCATATAATAGGCAGGGCGGTACTCAAACTTCCAAAGGGCTATAACTTTGTTACTTTAATTTTACCAGAAAAATGGTAAAGGAAAAAAACATTTCTTTTGATCAGATCTACTCACTGTTAAAATAAATGACTCAACTTCGAAGTCACCCTGTATATATCATTTTATTAGTGTACTACATACTATATTAAACGTGCAGACTGTAGATGCACTTGCTACGAAATGGTTAATTACACGGTACTTTTCGAAAAGGTCCCTCTGCTTTACACTTATTTCAATTACTATCTGCCGTTCGCTTTGCAAGAACCAATCTAACCTAAAATAAGACATTATGTATTTTGGATATTATAGTCGTATGATATGTAGGTATATCACGAAAAACTATTTCGTTCATTTCCGTCGGTCTGTCGGCTAATCTTATAACCACCCATAACTTGAGAAGTACCTTTCGGTTTTTTTTATGAAATTTTAAGACAAGAAGAGAAAGAGGCCACGAACAAAAAGACATAAAAATCTCTCAAACATTATTTTTTCACGTTTCGCAAGAACAAATTGACCACAAACAGTCTGTTCGCTTCTCACACAAATGTTCACAGTGGACTGAATTGTAACTCTAATTCCATCCTGTGTCCATCCTATAGTCGGTGAAACTTCTAAAAATGTGTCAGATACAACGTCTTTACCAAAATTGGCAAGCCTAAACTTTCGTGTTTGTATAACGACGATAAAAAATTACAACAAACGTACCTTTCCTCTTATATCGTTATCTACACTTCCCAACTCGAAGTCTGTATCTCACAGATTGTGGTACCTTGAAGCGGCATCGGCGTTTAAAATCGTACATATAGTGGCAACTACCCAAGATACAGGCAATCAGTCAGACTTGATATCATAAGCTGGTGCGACTATCGTTGCCAAGAGAAGCAATCATCTATAGCGTCCTACCATTTCTTGGGTTCGAAGACTATGTCTCACGGAGTATGGTACCAAGAAGCTGTAACAGGTCATACATCCAGTGACAGCGTTCTCGGTATCAATCAGTGAGACTGAATAGTGGCAATCCTGGATGGCAACAGTCGGTGAATCTGGATATCATGAGCCAAATGTTTTCTTTATACCAATTTAACATCGTTTGCCTCCGGTTTGAAGATAGTATCTCACGGCTCCTGCTATGCAGTACGTACAACTAAGTGAAATATCTAGTCACATCATTCTGATACGCAAAAGTCGGTTAGACCAGATATAGCAGCAATGAAGGATCAAAAAAGAAATATATTTGTCCCTAGTACCATCTTTATTTCATAATTCGAAGACCGTGCCTCAGAGAATGTGGCACATAAAAGTGGCAACTAAAATTATTCATATAGTTGCACCATTCAGTGCACCAAAACTCGATAAGACTACATACCGACTAACGTTGTCCAGAAAAAGATGTTTTCATCCTTAATTTCGGTGAGAATTTCGCAGATTATGGTACACATAAATTGCTGCTAGGCTTATACATCAACATTCTGAGTACCAAAAGCCGGCGAATTTGAATATATCTGTGCTAAAATGATAATGGATTACTAAAGGCATACAACGTTTCTATATTTTCTCTTTAATCGTTACCTACATTTTTCATTTCGGAGACTGTATCTCAAAGATTTTTGTACTTAGAAGGTATCATAGATCGACCTGTGGTCGAAATACGGTGAGACTATGTTGCTGCTATGAAGAAAACCCAAATAAATTGTCTCTTATATGTTATCTACTTTTCCCAATTGGAAGACTCCACCTCATAAATTACGGTGCACAGAACTTGCAGCTCAAGTTATTTATCTAAGCTACCAGAATCTGTATCTACATAAAAATGTGTTATACTGAACATGAAAGAGTTCCAGGGAAACAGATATCAGTATTATCTCTTCTATTATTATCTACATTTTTCAATTCTATTCTGTAACCCAGAATCGACCAGAATGAAGATGAAAGATTACCAATGAAGCAGAGCGTTTCTATATTTTATCTTCTATCGTTATAATACATTTCTCGATTCGGAGGTAGTATCTCACAAATTCCCGGACACAGAAAGTGCAACTTAAGTCAAAAATATAAGCCGCACCGTCCTGTGCCCGAAATTCGCTAAGACTATGCTGCAGTGATGGAGAATCTTCAAAGACATTTTATCTTCTATCTTATGATGTTTCGACTCTACAATTTGGAGCCCTCATCTGACATATTCTGGTGCATAAAAGCTGCAATTCATGTCAGGAATCCAAGTTACAATGTACTCTATTTCAAAATGGATGGGATCGAACATGGAAAATTTCATCGAAACAGATGTCAATATATTTCTCTTTCTCTTCTATCTTATCTAAATTTCCCAAATCGGAGAATGTATCTCATAGAGTAAAATCCGGCGGCGGCCAGACCTTCGTTATTTGATAAACGATGAAAGTTTCTCTGCCCATGTTCCACACATAGGTAAAAACAATCATCAACAATGAAATTTGTATTTTGGTCACTTTGGCTCGCAACACATATCAAATAGTACCTCAAAATCGTTGAAGTATAGAGCCCAGTTTTTTTATATTGTGGGCTTACATTACGGTAGGACCTTTGTCGGGAAGAAATACATGTCTGGTTTTCTACCTTGAAGTTTCTTACCTTACGAGTACATGTGATAAATTATAGTAGTCTCAGACTCGGGGCGGGCTGGAGTGCGTTTTCTGAAATACGTAATGCGTAATTGCGTAAAATTTGTGTAGTTGAGTACAACCTATCGTTTACTATTGGAGAGCGCTAGTACTACGTTGTTGCAACTAGATTTGAACATCTAAGATATGTATTCTAAATATTTACTTCGACGAGGACGGAACATAATTACATGATCGAACGAACTTACCTGTAAGTGATGCTCGATCTTAATTATGTGAAGTCCTCGTCGAAGTAAATAGCTCCCTCGCTCCCTATGTATCACCCAATTGTTGCAACAAGTTGGCTTTGAAGTAAATTAAGGTTTATAGGTGGCCAGAGGGGTGAAAGATAGGGGGAAGGGGCACGGTGCCGCTTTCCTTCTCTGCGTGCGCGCTTTGAAACCGTGGCGGTTGGGCACTATTACGAGGGTACTACGATATGTATTCTAATTATTTGCGTCGACGAGGACTTCACATAAGTAAGATGGAACATCACTTACAGGTAAGTTCGTTTGATCATGCAACTATAAACATTTTTTTTTCTTGAGTAAGCCTTGAAATTATCATATTGTCACTTATTTCGTAGGATATCAAAGATGATTACATGTTACGCATTGATATAAAACTTCAACTGCTTAACTTCATATAGTTGATTTAAGCTCATCGACTGACGAACAACATAATGTAACTCATTATTGTTCAGGGTGGCCTATCCATGTGTGGACGTAATATTACTCATAAACACATACATTTTGGGAAAATCTATTAACGGCATGTTATACATGACATTTGAGAGAACATTTCTGAAATATTGGCAAATATACAGGGTGTCCAAATTTTGACATAAATATCAAAGTTCTGATCTTTTGAATGGAATGCCTCAAATTGTATTGCATATTTGGATAAACCAATTCAAAAGAAGAAAATTGACATGTCATAGTATGGGGTTTTGTTAATTAGCTACTGAAGCTACTGAGATATAAGGTGTTTTGTCTAGAAAAACTCCCCACCTGGGCAACCCCTCAGTCCGCCATTTTGAAATTTGGAGTACTGAATTTTGTATAAAAAAACTTACATACCTCAGCCTTTGTCTTAT